GCACCGCCCGCTCATACGCTGCACCGCACGCTCATACGCTGCACCGCACGCTCATACGCTGCACCGCACGCTCATACGCTGCACCGCACGCTCATACGCTGCTGCACCGCCCGCTCATACGCTGCACCGCCCGCTCATACGCTGCACCGCCCGCTCATACGCTGCACCGCCCGCTCATACGCTGCACCGCCCGCTCATACGCTGCACCGCACGCTCATACGCTGCACCGCACGCTCATACGCTGCACCGCCCGCTCATACGCTGCACCGCACGCTCCTACGCTGCACCGCGCGCTCCTACGCTGCACCGCACGCTCATACGCTGCACCGCCCGCTCATATGCTGCACCGCCCGCTCATACGCTGCACCGCACGCTCATACGCTGCACCGCACGCTCATACGCTGCACCGCACGCTCATACGCTGCACCGCCCGCTCATACGCTGCACCGCCCGCTCACACGCTGCACCGCCCGCTCATACGCTGCACCGCCCGCTCATACGCTGCACCGCCCGCTCAGACGCTGCACCGCCCGCTCACACGCTGCACCGCACGCTCATACGCTGCACCGCACGCTCATACGCTGCACCGCACGCTCATACGCTGCACCGCACGCTCATACGCTGCACCGCCCGCTCATACGCTGCACCGCCCGCTCATACGCTGCACCGCCCGCTCATACGCTGCACCGCCCGCTCATACGCTGCACCGCCCGCTCATACGCTGCACCGCACGCTCATACGCTGCACCGCACGCTCATACGCTGCACCGCACGCTCATACGCTGCACCGCCCGCTCATACGCTGCACCGCCCGCTCATACGCTGCACCGCCCGCTCATACGCTGCACCGCCCGCTCATACGCTGCACCGCCCGCTCATAGGTTGCACCGCACGCTCATACGCTGCACCGCCCGCTCATACGCTGCACCGCCCGCTCATACGCTGCACCGCACGCTCATACGCTGCACCGCCCGCTCATACGCTGCACCGCCCGCTCATTCGCTGCACCGCCCGCTCATACGCTGCACCGCCCGCTCATACGCTGCACCGCACGCTCATACGCTGCACCGCCCGCTCATACGCTGCACCGCACGCTCATACGCTGCACCGCACGCTCATACGCTGCACCGCACGCTCATACGCTGCACCGCCCGCTCATACGCTGCACCGCCCGCTCATACGCTGCACCGCCAGCTCATACGCTGCACCGCACGCTCATACGCTGCACCGCCCGCTCATACGCTGCACCGCCCGCTCATACGCTGCACCGCCCGCTCATACGCTGCACCGCCCGCTCATACGCTGCACCGCCCGCTCATACGCTGCACCGCACGCTCATACGCTGCACCGCCCGCTCATACGCTGCACCGCCCGCTCATACGCTGCACCGCCCGCTCATACGCTGCACCGCACGCTCATACGCTGCACCGCCCGCTCATACGCTGCACCGCCCGCTCATTCGCTGCACCGCCCGCTCATACGCTGCACCGCCCGCTCATACGCTGCACCGCACGCTCATACGCTGCACCGCCCGCTCATACGCTGCCCCGCACGCTCATACGCTGCACCGCCCGCTCATACGCTGCACCGCCCGCTCATACGCTGCACCGCCCGCTCATACGCTGCACCGCACGCTCATACGCTGCACCGCACGCTCATACGCTGCACCGAACGCTCATACGCTGCACCGCACGCTCATACGCTGCACCGCCCGCTCATACGCTGCACCGCCCGCTCATTCGCTGCACCGCACGCTCATACGCTGCACCGCCCGCTCATACGCTGCACCGCACGCTCATACGCTGCACCGCACGCTCATACGCTGCACCGCACGCTCATACGCTGCACCGCCCGCTCATACGCTGCACCGCCCGCTCATACGCTGCACCGCCAGCTCATACGCTGCACCGCACGCTCATACGCTGCACCGCCCGCTCATACGCTGCACCGCCCGCTCATACGCTGCACCGCCCGCTCATACGCTGCACCGCCCGCTCATACGCTGCACCGCCCGCTCATACGCTGCACCGCACGCTCATACGCTGCACCGCCCGCTCATACGCTGCACCGCCCGCTCATACGCTGCACCGCACGCTCATACGCTGCACCGCCCGCTCATACGCTGCACCGCCCGCTCATTCGCTGCACCGCCCGCTCATACGCTGCACCGCCCGCTCATACGCTGCACCGCACGCTCATACGCTGCACCGCCCGCTCATACGCTGCACCGCACGCTCATACGCTGCACCGCCCGCTCATACGCTGCACCGCCCGCTCATACGCTGCACCGCCCGCTCATACGCTGCACCGCCCGCTCATACGCTGCACCGCACGCTCATACGCTGCACCGCACGCTCATACGCTGCACCGCACGCTCATACGCTGCACCGCCCGCTCATACGCTGCACCGCCCGCTCATACGCTGCACCGCCCGCTCATACGCTGCACCGCCCGCTCATAGGTTGCACCGCACGCTCATACGCTGCACCGCCCGCTCATACGCTGCACCGCCCGCTCATACGCTGCACCGCACGCTCATACGCTGCACCGCCCGCTCATACGCTGCACCGCCCGCTCATTCGCTGCACCGCCCGCTCATACGCTGCACCGCCCGCTCATACGCTGCACCGCACGCTCATACGCTGCACCGCCCGCTCATACGCTGCACCGCACGCTCATACGCTGCACCGCACGCTCATACGCTGCACCGCACGCTCATACGCTGCACCGCCCGCTCATACGCTGCACCGCCCGCTCATACGCTGCACCGCCAGCTCATACGCTGCACCGCACGCTCATACGCTGCACCGCCCGCTCATACGCTGCACCGCCCGCTCATACGCTGCACCGCCCGCTCATACGCTGCACCGCCCGCTCATACGCTGCACCGCCCGCTCATACGCTGCACCGCACGCTCATACGCTGCACCGCCCGCTCATACGCTGCACCGCCCGCTCATACGCTGCACCGCACGCTCATACGCTGCACCGCCCGCTCATACGCTGCACCGCCCGCTCATTCGCTGCACCGCCCGCTCATACGCTGCACCGCCCGCTCATACGCTGCACCGCACGCTCATACGCTGCACCGCCCGCTCATACGCTGCACCGCACGCTCATACGCTGCACCGCCCGCTCATACGCTGCACCGCCCGCTCATACGCTGCACCGCCCGCTCATACGCTGCACCGCACGCTCATACGCTGCACCGCACGCTCATACGCTGCACCGAACGCTCATACGCTGCACCGCACGCTCATACGCTGCACCGCCCGCTCATACGCTGCACCGCCCGCTCATTCGCTGCACCGCACGCTCATACGCTGCACCGCCCGCTCATACGCTGCACCGCCCGCTCATACGCTGCACCGCGCGCTCCTACGCTGCACCGCGCGCTCCTACGCGCTCCTACGCTGCACCGCCCGCTCATACGCTGCACCGCCCGCTCATACGCTGCACCGCACGCTCATACGCTGCACCGCACGCTCATACGCTGCACCGCACGCTCATACGCTGCACCGCCCGCTCATACGCTGCACCGCCCGCTCATACGCTGCACCGCCCGCTCATACGCTGCACCGCACGCTCATACGCTGCACCGCCCGCTCATACGCTGCACCGCCCGCTCATACGCTGCACCGCCCGCTCATACGCTGCACCGCCCGCTCATACGCTGCACCGCACGCTCATACGCTGCACCGCACGCTCATACGCTGCACCGCACGCTCATACGCTGCACCGCCCGCTCATACGCTGCACCGCCCGCTCATACGCTGCACCGCCCGCTCATACGCTGCACCGCACGCTCATACGCTGCACCGCACGCTCATACGCTGCACCGAACGCTCATACGCTGCACCGCACGCTCATACGCTGCACCGCCCGCTCATACGCTGCACCGCCCGCTCATTCGCTGCACCGCACGCTCATACGCTGCACCGCCCGCTCATACGCTGCACCGCCCGCTCATACGCTGCACCGCCCGCTCATACGCTGCACCGCCCGCTCATGCGCTGCACCGCCCGCTCATTCGCTGCACCGCACGCTCATACGCTGCACCGCCCGCTCATACGCTGCACCGCCCGCTCATACGCTGCACCGCCCGCTCATACGCTGCACCGCCCGCTCATACGCTGCACCGCCCTCTCATACGCTGCACCGCACGCTCATACGCTGCACCGCCCGCTCATACGCTGCACCGCCCGCTCATACGCTGCACCGCCCGCTCATACGCTGCACCGCCCGCTCATACGCTGCACCGCACGCTCATACGCTGCACCGCACGCTCATACGCTGCACCGCCCGCTCATACGCTGCACCGCGCGCTCCTACGCTGCACCGCGCGCTCCTACGCTGCACCGCACGCTCATACGCTGCACCGCCCGCTCATACGCTGCACCGCCCGCTCATACGCTGCACCGCACGCTCATACGCTGCACCGCACGCTCATACGCTGCACCGCACGCTCATACGCTGCACCGCCCGCTCATACGCTGCACCGCCCGCTCATACGCTGCACCGCCCGCTCATACGCTGCACCGCACGCTCATACGCTGCACCGCCCGCTCATACGCTGCACCGCCCGCTCATACGCTGCACCGCCCGCTCATACGCTGCACCGCCCGCTCATACGCTGCACCGCACGCTCATACGCTGCACCGCACGCTCATACGCTGCACCGCACGCTCATACGCTGCACCGCCCGCTCATACGCTGCACCGCCCGCTCATACGCTGCACCGCCCGCTCATACGCTGCAGCGCCCGCTCATACGCTGCACCGCCCGCTCATACGCTGCACCGCCCGCTCATACGCTGCACCGCCCGCTCATACTTCTAAACACCGATATTTGGTGCGAGGCGATGGCGATGGCGATGGGGATGGAGGGTTTGTCGCGGAGAAGCGGGGTGAACACGAAGAGGTGAGGCAATGCGGATGGAGGGTGATGGCAATAGGGATGGTAAGGGGGGTGACTCTCACCGAGTCTTAGATGTCAGTGTTACCTGGTGGGATGCGATGGCGATGGGGATGGAGGGGTTGTCTCGCAGCAGTGGGGAGAGCACGAAGAGGTGCGGCACGAGCTCTATGAGCACGTGGTAGAATGCGATGCCGAGGGGGTATATGAGGGAGACGAGGCTGTCATAATGATGGACCTTGGCCTTGCCTGGCGAAAAGGAGAACTGCCCAGGGGGGAACAGGGGGTTGGGGGGAACAGGGGGTTGGGGGGAAAGGGTGAGGCACGAGCTCTATGAGCACGTGGTAGAATGCGATGCCGAGGGGGTACATTAAGGAGACCAGGCGATCATAGTGACGGACCTTGGCCTTCCCTGGCTCAAAGGAGAACTGCCGAGACAAAGAGGGGCACAGGGGGGGGTGACGGAGGGTTGTTGAGAGGCCGCACACAGGGGGGCTCTATGAGGCCGCGTGAGAGACAACCCACAGAATGCGATGCCGAGGGGAGGGGGTGCATGAGAGACACCAGGCGGTCGTAGGCGACACCAAAAACACCAAAGAATTCCCACTCACTCACATTCCTCCTGATCTCCCTTCCCCCCCATGCACTCACATTCCCCTTGTCTGGTTAAACACCAGCCCATCCCCATCCAAGTACACGTCCCGCAGCTCGTAGTACTGCGGCAGAAACATGTCCAGCAACACGTCATCCCCAAAACCACCCTAAGAATACCCACGAAACGCCCATGCACTCACATTCCCCTTGTCCGCGCAGCTATGCCGATCAAAGAACACTGACTCGTTAAACACCAAGCCATCTCCGTCCAAATACACATCCCGCAGCTCGTAATACTGCGGCAGAAACATGTCCAGCCGCAAGTCATCCCCCTTATGAGTGCACCTCGTATCCGACACCTCCTTCCCTCCTTCTACACTCATATCCATAACTTTCGGGCAGTTTATAGGCTGGTCTGGGAACAGGTACTCCGCGTCGACCAGGTTCGGCCAGTAGCAGGCGCGCAGGTTCGGGAACTCCGGACCGCAGGAGCCGAGGTTCGGGCAAGGCTCGCCGGAGCACTGTAGCTTGAGCTCTCCTTCCCGGAAATGGTGGTGGTATTCTAGAAAGGTCTTGTTCAGATCTACCCTGCGAATGGTTCGATCCAGGGATGTGACTGTAAAGAGGGGCTCCATAGGAGGAGGAGAGGGGGGAGGGGGGTGTGAGGGAGGAGGAGAGGGGGGTGGTGGGTGTGAGGGGGTGGGAGTCGCAGGTAAGTGGGGACTAGTCTCTCGCTCCTGGACCTTGCTCATTCCGAATTCCTCTCCTCCAGCTTCCCTCTTCCCCTCCTCTGCACTAGCCCCTGCAAGCTGCAGCATCAGCTGTTCCTCTATCGCGGCCACCCTCCCTATAAGCACCTCGTCAGCGCCTTCCGTGCTTCCTAAACTCCCTGCTTCGCCTTGAGATTGAGGTGAGATGAGCGACGTGGGACGGAGGGGCGGTGGAGGGGGGAAGGGAGGAGAGGGGACGAGTGGAGGGGGGACGGGAGGAGGGAAGGGTGGCGATTGCTGTGGAGGAAAGAGAGGAGGAGCGAGAGGAGGGGAGTGTGGAAGGGGTTGCGCCTGCTCCTGAAGCATGGCTCCTTGGGACTGCTGCAGCGCCTGCTCCTCCTGCATCTGACGGCTGAGCTCCGCCGCTATCTCCGCCACTCGACCCAGAAGCACCTCGTCCGTCGATTGAACTGCCGGCTGGCCGGCTATCTGGACGACCGTCTGATGTGCTGGCGGAACGGCGGCGGCCTGACTGGCCGATGCTGGGTCGGCTGGTTCTGGTGCTGCTGGCGCCAATGGCGCTGATACCGCTCGTGGAGATACTACCGCTGGTGGCACTGATTCGGATTGCGCTTGAACTGGAGGGAAAACGGATGGGAGGGAGAGAGGGGAAGGATGAATGGTAGAGAGGGAGAGCGGAGGAATTGCACTTCAGAATCCTTGGACTTGTGTCGACGCACCTTGAGTCGCGTACGAGACGGAGAGGAGGCACGCAACGAGGAGCGCCGCCGTTAGAACGCATGCTCCCCATTTCGCCTTTCTGCGGCCCCATTGTCGAATCGCCTTAGACATTGCGTGATGAAACGTCTGAACTATTGCCTTTCTCGGAGCAGGACCCGATCCGAGTCAGGAACAGAATCTACGTTCCCTCGCCGCTAAAGGCGCCTAGATATCGGACGAGATTCAGAGGTAGCGTCCCTACTGCGACGATTCTGGTGTTTCTGCGAGTGCAATACGCCGAGGTTGCACGGGGGTTGACACTGAACCGCCATGGCCCATGGGTTCGCGCGATGCGATAGTCTCGCTCGTCAGCCTCTTGCCATCTTCTGTCCTTGAACTATCTGGTCAGCTAATGGCGAAAACAAGGCGATTCCAAAGGCACCTGCTGCTGTTTTCCTCCTGATGTAATGAGCGCTATAAAGCGCTACATTACAGAATATACTAACATTGCTGTTGTGGTTATCAAAATGCTTATAAGAAACACTTCACCATACATGGCTATACTTTCCAACAAGACAAAAAGAACGCAAAATAACAATAGCCAACACACAATGTTGCCCCAACTTTGCTCGCATCTCTATTTCTTCTCGTCTCCCCCATTTTCCTTCGAAGAACCTCCAAAACCCAATGGCTTTTTCTCGTCACTCCCAACTGGAACCTCCGTCTCCTTAGCCTCACTGTCTTTGGATCCCACTGTATCCGCTTCACTCCCACTCCCACTAACGGGGCTGTCTTTAGGGGAGTCGAGACCCAGCGCCAGTTGGAAGGCATATAGAGTGAGGCCGATGGAATTGAGACCAAAGATGAATGTGGCCAGCCATACGAGGCCTGATACTATGGTCCTGTGGTAAATGAAGGATGAAAAGGAAGACGAAGGGAGAGAAGGGAGAAGAAAGGAACAGGGATTACGTAAGGGATGTGGGAGGAAAAAAAAGGGAGTTATCGCAATGGAAACAGCAAGTGGTGTGGGTTGTGGGAATCGACGAATAATAATATTCATAGTTACAAAAGGTAAAGGAATAATGGAGTGTACCTGACAGCAATGGAGAGGTTCCGAACCTGTAGAGAGGGGGGCATGGAGAGAATGGGGGCCGACAAATGAAGAGGGAAGGAGGGGGGTGTTGAAGGGGAGAAAGAGGGGAGAGGAGGGGAGGAGATGAGGAGAAATATGCAGGGCACTATAGCACGTGAATTGCGGCAACCAAACATTGAACACATCTCATGTGGGTCATGGGAACTGCCTGATGGGTCACCTGTAACATGCCGATGTAAGTCCTGGCAACAGGGAACCGCCACTCACGGTGTAAGTGGTTGACAGAGTCTGCCCGGCAAACACATCGTCAACGGACGTGGCAAACTTGTAGAGCACGATCGCAATCGACCCCGCCACCAGTGCGCCGCCCAGCGTGTTCAGCACCGTGGGCGGCGCCCGCTTGGCTGCTTCTGCCGCTTCCGCTGCCGCCCTACGATTCCGCTCCTCTACCACCGGATTGGACGACAGCTTCTCAACTGAATCCGACCGGAAACGCTGGGAGAAGGGGCACGAGAGACAGTCACACAGGAGTGAGGTTCTTGCAGACTGTATGGGTTTGGAGGTTCGCGAGGCGATTCACTGTGCACCGTGCTTCCTCTCCTCTGCGCTCCTCTCCCCTGACCGGAAGCGCTGGCAGGGGGGCAAGAGACACCAGTCACGCGGGAATGAGTTTGGATGGTTTTGGAATGCACCCACCCCAATCTCACTCACTAGACCACTCTTAACCACACGGCACCGCACCCGACCCCCAACCACCACTCACCGATTCAGTGACCTTGCTCGCTCGTCTCTTGATAGCACGGAACAGCAGCACACCGATCGTCCCAGTCAGCAGAATACTGGCAAAGGATTGCAACGGAGAGACCTCGGGAATAGCCCAGGGGTCTTCCAGGTAAGCGGGGGGCAGTTCTATTGGTCCGTCCGATGCCAGCGTGGCAGCTGTGTTGAGCGTGGCGAGCACGAGGTGGCTCGTCCAATCAGCAGCTGACACCTGGCGCGAGGGAAGGGGTGACAGGAGTAGGGGGAAGGGCAGAGGGGAGAGAGGGGTGACAGGAGGGAATGCGATGGTAAGAGGAGGAAAACGAGAGTAGAAGGAATGCAAGCACGTGTGAGTGCTGGCGGGGAAGGGGAGGTTCGAGACAACAATGTGGAAAAAGCAAGGAGGAGAGTTCAAGTGAAAGAGGGCGAGCGTCTATTCTCACCATCGTCGTCACGGCTTCAGGCGGAGCGGCCAGCGCAACCACAGCCCCACCCCTCCTCCCCGCGCGGCTCCGGCCGCCATTGATGAATCCGCCATTGCTACATTCGCGCTTCCCCCACCCTCCTATCCGCAGCGACGTTTCTCTGGCTGCTAACGAAGCGCGCCGATGCGTCGACGGAAACGCAGGCAGAACAGCAGTCGTCGCAGCGGCGGAGACGGCTCGCGCGACAAGCGCAGCCATTGGGGCGCGCGCGAGATGACGCTGACTACGGTTCCGCGTAGGCGCGATTGGCAGAGGCGCTGAGCGCAAAACGCTGAATACGGCGCAAGGCGATAAGTAAGCGTGGCGCTTGGCAAGGATGGGAAAAATGGCGGATTGTGTGCTTCGGGACGAGAACACGAGTGGTGGATACGCGATACAAATCGGTGCGACTTGAAGACACGGTTACGATGTTTCCCCGAGAGTGTTCTTGAGAACGTCACTTTAGTGTGAATTTGTCTGATGTCATAGGTTCTTTTGTTCACTTTATACTCAAATACTGTAACCACACAAAAAGAAACGCAAATCTTTAGTATGCTACATTTTTTCTAAGCACATAAAAAACATTTCCCCAACAACCGTTCCCGCAACAATCACCGTGCCATCATATGCAATAAACCGCCCGTTGTCCTTCTCGCTCAATCCATCGATAACACCCAATAGCTGCTCGGCAGCAAAGTCCGGCGTGAAAATCTTATCGGCCGGCAAGTGCGCAGTGAACGGGCGGGTAAGGTCGGTGTCTACAGTGCCGGGGTGTAGCAGCACGGCCACCACTGGGCTCTTCCGGCCGGCCAACTCCACTGGTGTCGTCTTGGTGACTGGGAAGAAGAGGAAAGAGGGGGCGTGCGTGGGAGGGAGGGGGAAGAGGGAGTGAGGCAATGGTGAGAGGGTGGAGGAGAGCCAAGTGAACTCCTCAAAGGACCGCAGTGACAAGCGACCAAGTGGGGTGTAGCAACACAGCAACGACTGGGCTCTTCCGGGCGATCAACTCCACTGCTGCCATCTTGGTGACTGTGGAAACGGGGCAAGGGGAGGGGAGAGGGAGGGGAACAGGGTAGCATTGAGAATTTGTGGATTTATGTTATCAACTATAGAGCAGCATTTCTCAAAGTCGACTTCTGACTGGAAATGACGCTACTGCTGGTTACCCACAACAGAGCAACAACTTAACTTACGCTGGATCAGAGGCACGGTATGAGTACCACCCTCCGATGTGGTTATCGGAGATGGACCCGGTGCAAGAGCTCATGTCGGCCACAACTGAGGTAACTTGGATACACGTTGCTCATTAGCCTGAGACGGCCAGTCTACGGTCTCCGCCAGTCACCCCGTGAGTGGCACGACACTCTTCGCTCCACGCTTCGTGACCTTGGGTTTTGTCCTTCCTCTGCCGACCCGTCGCTGTTTGTTCGCACTGGTTCCACTCCTTTCTTTATACTAGTGTACGTCGACGACTTGGTCTTTGCCACAGCAGACAGGGCAGCTATGGCTCAGGTGAAGTCCGAACTGCAGAAGAGACACACGTGCACTGACCTAGGTGAACTGCAGCGCTACCTTGGCCTGCAGATCACCAGGGACAGAGCCACTCGCACCATCACACTGACTCAGTCACACATGGTGCAGCAGGTCCTTCGGCGGTTCGACTTCCAGTTCTACACCACACAGCCCACACCTCTTGCTGTTGACCACAGACTCACTGGCCCCTTTCCCGACGAGCCTTTGAGTTCAGTGGTCCCTACGCAGAGCTGGTGGGCTGCCTCATGTACCTGATGACTTGTACTCGGCCGGACCTCGCCTTTCCCCTCAGCATACTTTCTCGCTTTGTTGCGACTGGGAGACACCGTCCTGTCCACTGGACAGCTGCTGTGAGGGTGGCGAAGTACCTGGCGACTACATCAGGCATGGGGCTTGTGAACATTTCGATTCGATACCACAGATGTGTCAAGTTTTTAATTCGCCAAGTACCTGAATGTCGCCAACATCGCTGTGCGAAAAGCAAAAAAGTTCTGGTAACTTCACGCAAACGCAAATTCGACAGTAGAACAACTTATTCGCAGTTCGTGAACATAACCAACATCGAGTGTACTCGCATGTCAGACATGCTGCTGTCCATCGCTCACGCGCTGGCTGTACTGCAATCAATCCGAAGGAGGATATCGGAAGGAAATTTCCAAGAAAATTCCTCTCGATAAGGTCAAAAACAGGGACCACAAATTCGATACCCCATTAAGTCAGGATCCACTAACAGGCGAGTCTGTTACACTATACTCTAAATCAGGGATATGAAAACTATTACTCTGATTTGAACAGGGTTGAGAACTCAGTAATTCGGAAATCTCAGTCTCCGCAAAATGGAAAGCCTGAAATCACCCTGAAATCAGGGTAATCACCCTGATAAAATCAGCCCTGCATCATGTGCTGCAGTGGTGGGTGGAGGGGGTAATAGAGATGGTGAGGTGCGAGGGAGAGGAGCGGATGGGAGAGGGGGAGAGGAGAGGAGAGGGGAGGGGGGGGAGGCGAGGGAAGGGGAGGGGAGGGGAGCAAGGAATGTGATGGAATGAGATGATGGTGATGGTGTTGTGATTTTTGTGTGACCGCCTTGCACAAGAACAAACATCATATGCTACAAATGGGGGGGAGGAGAGAGGAAGGCGTGAAAAGGAGAGATGGAACGAAGCGATATTGGTGTTGCGACTAGGAAGATGCAAGTGTAATAGTAATGGTATTAGTTAAGGCAATTGTAATGGTAATGGTAATGGTGATGGTAATGGTGATGGTCATGGTAATAGTAATGGTAATTGTAATGGTAATGGTAATGGTGATGGTGATGCTAATGGTAGTAGTGATGGTAATGGTAATGGTAATGGTTATGGTTATGGTAATGGTAATGGTTATGGTAATGGTAATGGTAATGGTAATAGTCATGGTGATGGTGATGATGATGGTAATGGTAATGGTAATAGTGATGGTAATGGTAATGGTAATGATAATGGTAATGGTAATGGTAATGGTTATGGTAATGGTCATGGTAATGGTAATGGAAATGGTAATGGTAATGGTAATTGTAATGGTACTGGTAATGGTAATGGTGATGGTTATGATAATGGTAATGGTAATGGTAATGGTGGTGGTGATGGTTATGGTATTGGTAATGGTAATGGTAATGGTAATGGTGATAGTGATAGTGATGGAAATGGTAATGGTAATGGGGATGGTAATGGTGATGGTGATGGTAATGGTAATAGTGATGGTAATGGTAATGGTAATGGTAATGGTATAGTTATGGTAATGGTAATGGTTATGGTAATGGTAATGGCAATAGTAATAGTCATGGTGATGGTGATGGTAATGGTAATAGTAATGGTAATGATAATGGTAATGATAATGGTAATGGTGATGGTGATGGTTGTGGGAATGGTAATGGTATTGGTAATGGTAATGGTTCTCAGAAAGTGAATGCAACGGAATGATTGACTTAGGAGAGCAAGGCATACAAATAGAAACCCTAAGAGTGTTGTACTCCTTAGAGTGCTACTCACTGCAGCCTACAACCAATAACAACATTTGACACACCCCCGTAGGCTAAGTGAGGGGCATCAAAGCAAGCATGGTGAACAAACAGTCACAAGACCAATCAAAGCAAGAAACAAGGCAAGCTCAGGGTGGATCTCAAGGACACCACAAAAATTCCGAGCGCAAGCAAGCGGCCACAAGGCCAGTTCAAGAGTTCACTAGGATATATATAAGAAAACACAACAAGCAGAGCAAGCAACAAGACTACAGCAACCGAGGGCCTACCTTAACAAGCCCCAACTGCACACAGAACATGTGGTGATCACCAAGCGCCAAGGCCTTGGTGAAGACGTCTGCAGTGTTGGCCTCGGAGGCCACAAAGTCCAGGCGTGCCTGGCCGCGTCGCTGCAGCTCTTGCAGGAGGAAGTACCTCACGTCAATATGTTTCACTCTGCTCTCCAGTCGAGGCTCTCGACACAGGAGGATCATGGCCTTGTTGTTGTTAGAGATTAAGGATGGAGTCTAGAAGCTTAGGAGCCGAAATTATCACGAAATCGTTGGCTTAGAATTCTGGACAGAAACGTCGACTTCACAAGAAACGTTGTCGACGAAAGGTGCACCGTTAGAATCCCACGAATTTCGAATATGTTGTAGCCCTAAACCGTGGCTACATTTCCCAATTTGAATCGTATCAAACTATGAAGTATATCTCGAGTTATGCTTTTCGGCGCACTAGGGGGTATGCTGCCACAGAAATTTAACTCAATCACAATTAACTCACAAGTCCCACAAAAGAACATTGGAGTAGCACTAAACCAGGTAGGAGGGGAAGAGGAGGACGAGAGGGAAGGCCCCAAGGGAGTCCCCAACCAAGGAAACCCCATACCACACAATTCCCTTCCCCATAGGCAACAAACTTTGACCTTTGTCACTTTCCAACCCATGCCATCCACCTCACCCAACTTGGCCACACTTGCCAACCTGGTTTGGCACCTCCCAACCACTTGGCAGCATCTACAGTGATGTTGACGAATTTTCCAACCCCCAAGATTCTGTACTCCTTATGGAGTCAACACCACAACTTCCCATGGTCACCACAACCAAATATCAAAAGCATACGAACTTCCAACGTTCGTAACTTTCTTGTTCGTGCTCCGATTGAAGCGATACTTGGTTCGTCGGAAAGCTCTTGAGCAGAGGAGTCACTTCAGATATCTGCTCAAGCCAAATAACGTTCACACACACTCAGAAAAACCAAACCGCACAAAACACAAATTCTTGCATACGCTCAGACCACGCATGCAACGTACGAACACATGATGGGAGGCAGACAGACGTGAATGCGTATGATTGCATCACACAACAGTTGTCAGCGTACAAGGTCGGTGCAGAGCGAGGCCGCTCACCAAGGTCGGCGAGTAAGAAGGTCAACCAGCGAAGCTCCTGTGCCGCCATGGCACCAGCGTAGATCTCTGCCTCTGCACTGGAAGTAGCCACAGACGACAACCGTGTAGACCTCCACGACACAGCACCAGCTCCCAGACTGAAGCAGTTGAGTCGAGCGCTGAGTCTCCACGTCGTCAGCGTAGGAAGAGTCGCAGTGACCAGTCAAAGCCACTGGCTGAGAACCTCCAAGCACAAGCCCCATGCCTGATGTAGTCGCCATGTACTTCGCCACCCTCACAGCA